TTTCTGGCCTTCAACTCGAAGGACTTTGCCAACCGATACTTCCGTGCCGAACCTTTGGACTACGGATTGGTCAGCTTGGGCGGTTATCTACAGGCTGCAGGATGGCTGTACATCATTGTCACTTTTGGACTCGCCACCTTGAAGAGAGAGGAGAAGACTCAGAACGAGGATGGGATCTGGGATGTTTATAAGATCATGTGGGGGATTCTGAAGCTGAAAAGCGTCCAAACCATTATGATCGTACATTTGATCGCAAAGATTGGCTTCCAAGCAAACGACGGAGTCACGAACCTGAAGCTTCTTGATAAGGGTTTCGGCACGGACAACATGGCGCTGACGGTTTTGATTGACTTTCCCTTCGAGATTGGGCTGGGTTACTACGCCGGAGTGTGGTCACAGAGGTACACGCCAATGCGCCTTTGGTGTTGGGGATTTGCTGGGCGTTTGGTGGCAGCAGTCTTTGCGCAATTTGTGGTCATTATCTTCCCCACCGAAGGAGTCACGTTCTGGTATCTGTTGGTGGTGATTGGCGAGCACGTCTTTTCAACCTTTATGAACACCATCATGTTTGTTGCTGTTTCAGCCTTCCATGCGAAGATTTCGGATCCAGTCATTGGTGGCACCTATATGACCCTCCTTGCGACGTAAGTCTCACACACGACCCAAAAACAAGAAAACGCACATGAACTGACAAGAAGCAGTGTTTCCAACTTGGGCGGCACGTTCCCTCGATATTTTGTCCTTCGCCTCGTCGACTCATTCACCAGTGCTACCTGCAATCCTGGCCAACCTAAGATGGAAGCTGAGCTCAAGGGGCCGCTCGTCACTCAACCTTTCTCTTGCTCATTACAGATCGACAAGGAGAGGTGTCTTGCTGGCGGCGGTACGTGCGATGTGACACGTGACGGGTACTATACTGTCAACATTCTCTGCGTTGTCGTTGGTCTCATCACTTTCCTGATGTACATCAGACCAAAGGTTCTGCAACTGCAAAACCTGCCCCTGAGGGCATGGAGACTATCGGCGGCAAAGTAGTGCGCGGGCAGATGAGAGGAAGTTGAGGGGTTTGGTATAGACAAAATCACTACTAAAGACAAAAGAACATATTGTTGCTGCTTCTCATACAATCTTGCGGGCTATTCCGTGTCTTCTTTCCGTGACCAGCCACCCACTACATTCATGCCGCGTCACCGACATTACCTCCTCCTGCCGTTTGAACTTGATATTCAGTGGAGCCGCATATCAAATATAGATGCTCACGTGGGCTGTTGGGCCCTGACAGTGTACAACCCGCAGACCAACGCCAAGGACTCTACCCGTTCATCGCGATCCCGGTGACGTCACAGCTGGCACTACCCCGGGACGACGGCGCATGGCGGCTCTTTACGGCTTTCCGTAAACGGCAATCCCGCCTCATCTGATCTCCACCCACAGCCCCAGGGTTCCCGGGGATTGTGGGGTTTGCGGGGGAGGGCCTGGGGAAATTTTACCTGGGGGATTCACCAAAAAACGACCCACTATCATGAGACTTGCCTTGAGTATTCTTGGTAGCAAATAAGCAATGGGCTTTGTCAAGCTTTTCTCCACACCCTGACTTGGTAAATTCCCGCAACGGCAGCCAGCAAACAATAGAAAAACACCCGGAAAGGGGCCGAGTCAGTCCAATACCCCGACCCGGCACAACAGGTCGTGCACCAGGCCTGTGTGTGCGCGCGCTTGGGATAATGACGAGGATGTTCTTTTCGGAACTGCTGTAAATGGATTTGATGATAAATTACTCTCGCCCTCCTTTCCGTGAATGTGTAAATTACTTTTTCGTCCCACGACATTGTCCCTTCCAGGAGTGAATATCAACCAACACTGCGGTTTGCGCTCCTTTTTGTGCCTTGAATGTCTCCTTGTACCAATTCCTCACGATGAAGGGGTCAAAATTCTACGGCCTACGGGGCACCAGGTTGAATATTGCCATCGCTGTCATAGCGGGCACTGATTTCGCTCTTTTCGGCTATGATCAGGTGCGCCATCTAAGTCTACACGAATCCATGTTCATTATTTCGAGCTCTGCTGACGTCCGCTTCGCTCCTAGGGTGTAATGGGCGGACTCTTGACTCTGCCCTCTTTTCTGCAGTATTTCCCCCAAGTCGACACGACAAACCCACCTCCTGGCTACACGTCCTCTCAGGCCTCGAATATACAGGGTATCACCGTTGGCGGGTACACACTAGGCTGCTTCTTCGGCGCAGTGGCAACAATATGGATGGGTAACTGGCTCGGGCGCAAAAATTCCATCATGCTGGGTTCAGCAATTATGGTCATTGGCGCAACGATTCAGTGCGCTTCATTCTCGCTGCCACAGCTGATCGTATCACGGCTGATCACAGGTTTTGGAAATGGTGAGTTTTGGCTGGCTTGTCCAATATTCTGCATCGGCATCATATTTACTGACCAATCAATCACAGGAATCAACACCTCCACGGTACCCATCTGGCAATCTGAGACATCCAAACCGCACAAACGAGGTCAAATGGTCATGATCGAGGGTGCCCTGATTGTCTTTGGCGTCATGTTGAGTTACTGGATCGATCTTGGCTTCTCGTTTCTCGAACCCTCGACCATCGCCTGGCGATTCCCCATCGCTTTCCAGATCATCCTCGCCCTGTTTGTCCTCTGCGGTATTCCAGGTTTGCCCGAGTCGCCCCGGTGGCTGATTCTTAAGGGCCGAGAGGATGAGGCATTGGTCGTCTTGTCTGCCCTGTCGGATCTTCCCCAAGATGATCACAGGGTGCAAAGCGACTTCAGAGCCGTCAAAGATGCTGCGCTAGAGATGGCGTCTGGCAGTTTCTCTGACTGTTTCAAGAAAAACAACAACCGAAACCTGCACCGGACGATCCTAGGATATGTCAATCAGATGTTTCAACAAATCTCTGGCATCAAGTAAGTATTTGAAATCGCCTAGACCTCTGGAGCCTTCCGCCTATTTTTCCTTTGGGTGGCTTCCTATTTTCAATTTTCGAGACAAATTCTAATCCAATGAGCAGTATCATCACCTACTACGCAGCCACCATCTTTGTGCGCATCGGCCTCTCCAACTTCCTTAGCCGACTCCTCGCTGCGCTCAACGGCACTGAATACTTCATTGCATCCTTGATCGCCATTTTCACCATCGAGAGGATCGGCCGGCGCAAGCTCATGATCTTTGGCGCCGTTGGCATGTCGCTGTCCATGGTTGTCCTCGCGGCTACCAGCAAGTACTCCGACGTCAGCAAGGGCGCCGGCATTACGGCCGCCGTTTTCTTGTTCGTCTTCAACTCGTTCTTCGCCGTCGGGTGGCTGGGTATGACTTGGCTCTACCCGGCTGAGATCACGCCGTTGGCGATTCGTGCCCCGGCGAATGCTATTTCCACAACGGCCAATTGGATTTTCAATGTGAGTTTTGACAAAGGGTCATGTGGATTGTTTCAATTTTGTTCTCCTACTGACATTTCTCAAGTTCCTTGTGGTTATGGTGACACCACCAGCTTTCGATAATATCGGGTACCAAACATACATCATCTTTGCAGTCATCAACGCATTCATGGTACCATGTGTCTACTTCTTCTACCCCGAGACGGCCTACCGGTCCTTGGAGGAGATGGACGAGATTTTCCAGGATTGCCACGGATTCAAGGGAGCCTTTGATGTCGTCAAGATTGCCAAGCAAAAGCCACAGCGATATGACAAGCACGGCGCGCTCCTCATCAACTACGATGAGACGGACTACCACCGGAGACACGTGGGTGCCACGGGCGCGGGCGCCGAAAAGGACATCCATGGAGACAAGAGTGATGATACCAATGGCTCGGAGGAAAGAAAGGAGCATGTTTGAGATGTATTATGGTTCTTGATGTCGAATGAAGGTCATGGTGGGGGAACGAAAGTGGCCGTGGGAACGGCTTTCCATTGTGATATCACTTATAGAATTATCTCTTATTGATCTCAATTTGGTCAGTATCAAGCACAACTGCTAATCACAAAACATCTGCGTTTCATTTTCCTCGCTCCCAGTCCCAGCCTCGACCCTCTTCCATTTGGAAACGTGATAAACTCCTTCACACAGGAGAGTGACGGCGTGACGAAGGTTCCTGTCTGCTTCCTTAAGGGAGCCAGGTAAATTTTTTTACTTCAATCAAGCAGTTTCGGACTACTTATTATCTTGTAAGCCCTCATGGAAGCTGTAAGATTGGCAGGGCTGTGCTCTGGACAATGTCTGGCTAGATGGTGCTTCTTTGCTAGGTGCAGCTGCGTCAGATAGGGTTCACTGTCAACTTTTCGCAATTCGACTGATCTAGATCAGACTATCACATTTGCAATCAATCTATTACCATTATAGTGTTCATGGATATTCCTCTCTACTTAAGCTGATGGTGGATGACTTAAAGTCGTTCCGAAGAGTATAATATTAGAGTCGGGGCCGTATATTAATTTCATATAAACAGGCACTGTTCTACATGTTATAACACTCAGGTTTTCGTAAACCATCGATGTTTAGATAGCCGAAGAAAATCAATTCATCGAAGATTACCTACCTAAGCAGTATTTTTGCTCATGTCCATTGCAGCCTCCGAGTTCAATGTCGCAGATAAAAACTGTTATTAACTCTTAGAGAGAGGATTTCGTCTGTATCTTGTCTAATGACTCGAGTATTTATCAAATTTAAATGCTTAAACTGGGAATTGTCCTTCTGTTAAGGCTGGGCGTAGGGTATGCCGTATTACAAGAGTGCGTGGGTCCCAAGCGTGACAAGCTTGCGTCTAAACCACTAGACTACAGGAAGTACTCGACATACAAGGTCCGGTGGTGGAGACATGTCTGGTCAGCCAGGGTCAAGGTCTGTCCGTAACAGTGCAGAGCCCATCAGGCCACAAAATCATATAACACTTCGTTTAGGCTCTTTGACAAGGCTAGAAAAATTGAATATAGTGTAAAAGAGTCGGGAGACGTAAAAATAATGAAAAAAAACCCTTCCCCGCCGGGAATTGAACCCGGGTCCCAAGCGTGACAAGCTTGTATCCTAACCACTAGACTACGGAGAAATAATCCCGCATTTCCTGCGAGAGTAGTGTGGTACGATCGTTGGCGATGTTGTGTTTTGTGGATATATATACTAGAGACAGGTCTACTGGGATCTGGGATCGGGACTCAGCGATTGGACCAGCAACCTTTGATGGTCGGCCAAACATCCAGATCTTCATAGGCTTCGAAGACTTGGGCGCTGTGATATAAAGAACAATTTCTTTCGATATCAAATTAAGATGCGGTCCTGAATTGAATGCCATGTCCTTCGGAATTACTTCAATTACTTCAACATGCCCACTAGAAGCTTATTCAGAAAGTGTTCCACTATAGTGGGAATCAATTGACTGCAGATGTTATAGTATGGGCCAGATCAGGCGAAATTCCGCTTCGCACCAATGAACCCTACTTGACGCAGCCCAACGATATACACCAGGCAAAGGATCACCACCCAAACAAAACAATATCCAGAATACAGCTTTGTCAGCTTCATAGCTTTCATGAGGGATTGCGAAATACGAACTTGTGTGAAGCTGCCCTGCCTTTAACTAAAGTGACGAAGACCACGGCCTACTAGCGCTGTGACCTTGTCCACAGTCCGCGAGCTTCCGCGTGCTAGGACACGTCGTTTCAAATTTCTTGCTCAACCCCCAATCAGCGGTGGCCACACGAACTTGTGCACAGTTACCTTTTCCAGCTTCATGTAACATGTGACACATTAAGCTTCACCACTCATATTCTTCTATTCCAGACCTTCAGGCTTCTATTGAATCACCATGGATGTCGTCGCAGAACCAAAGCCCAACCCCTTTACGTGGCTTTTAACCCTGATCATGGCTCTCGATTTGTGAGTGAACTGAACGCCCTCAGAGGTGAACGTTGAGGCCCCATGACTGATTGAATACAGCCACTTCATCGTCACCTTCTTCTACAACCAGTTCCGTCGTCTTCCGTATCCGAAAGACGACTTCACGGGGAAGACGATCATTATCACAGGTTCCAACGTCGGCCTTGGTTTCGAAGCGGCCCGCCATTTCGTTCGTCTCAATGCGGCAAAGGTCATCCTCGCATGCCGCAGCACGGAGAGAGGCGAGAAGGCGAAAGCGGATATTTCCCGCTCGGTGGCGCGGGCACACAGCGTGGTTGAGGTCTGGCCATTGGATTTGGCAAGCTTCGACAGCGTTAGGGAGTTTTGCAAGCGCGCGGACAAGCTCGATCGCTTAGATGTGGTGGTTGAGAACGCCTCGGTGGCCATGGTCTCACCCCAAGGTACCTTAGCAGAGGGCTATGAGCGCACGATAACGGTCAACGTGCTGTCTACCTTCTTGATGGCCTTGCTGCTGCTTCCTACCTTGAAGAAGACAGCTTCGAAGGTCAACACCCAGACCAGATTGGTCATTGTATCGTCAGATGCGCATTTTATGGTAAGTTGGAGTCTAGAACCACTCTGGGGTCTACCTACTCGCTGGGTCAAGTGGTTGTTCAGACCGTATGCTGACGCTCAATGGCATACAGACAAGCTTTAATGAAAAGTCATCGCCAAAGATTCTCGACGCTTTCAAATCCACCACTGTTCCGCCAGACCGATATCAAACCTCGAAGCTGCTCCAGATTTTCATTGTTCGCCAGCTCGCGCAAGACATGGCCGCCTCCACAAGCAACAGCAAAGGCCCTGTGATTCTTAACACATTGACCCCCGGGTTCTGCCGCACAGCTCTCTTCAGGGACAACAAATTTCCGGCGTCCATTTTCATCAAGATCACAAGCACACTCCTTGGCAGATCGGCTGAGATGGGTTCCAGGGAGCTAGTACACGCGGCTGCCGCTGGGCCTGAGACACATGGCAAATGGTTGGACAGTCATGAAATTCGCGAACCTAGTGCTTTTGTGCGCAGCGAAGAAGGTCAGATGCTGCAAACCCGAGTGTACGAGGAGTTGATGGGTATTTTGGACCACGTCGAGCCCGGCATTATCAAGAACATCTGAACAAGTACGCTTTGCAATCATCAGCCCGCAAAAGAGCCCGAAAACCATACGATAGCTAGTGAGTACCACCATGCTTACACAACTCGATCCAGGTTTAACAAGACCCTCCGCTGTTATAGCCTCCAATAGGAGTATCTTGAACGCCTACAAGCAAACCGTTACGGTTGGTCCAAATCGATGTTCTACCCGGGGCTAGAATGACAGGATATCGCTAAAGCAAGATTGTCCTGCGGTAGCACCAAGAGCAATGCAGGGAGTAATATTTGGTACAGAAGATTATTTGTCGTTGCTCATTATGCAGTTTGACTTGGTTCTCGACGGATTACGTCTGCCCTCCTTCACTGATACTACTCGCTGCAAGGCTCTACCTCGATCGCGACAGAGAGTCACATCCAATGACGACCACCACCCAAAGAAACTGTTTCCAGCCCGCCAAGATTATCGTGAAACGGTAGCATTAACGACAACGTAGTTCTCGTTGACTCCATGGAGACTGTCACCGCACTCGGAGCGAAATGAGCCGTCTTCGTTTGTTGGATCTCGGCCGATTGTCAAACTCCAGTCTGAAATGGTAACCCAGCCGCCCCCATCCGACCCACATGAGTCGTCAATGAGTGCATCCGCGCGCCAGTACTCGTTCACATCGCAAGAGGTTGCCGAGAAGCCGTGATTGCAGTAGTAAACCTGGACCGTCCCACTACTCCATGCCAAACTTCCATATCCGTCGACGCTGTTGTCATACACATTGCAAGAGCCATAGAGGCCGTCCGTGCTGGTTGCTGTCACAGCGGTGTCCAGGTCCGAGGACCAATTGGTATCGCCGGAATCGTCGAGGGACCGGCCGGAGCAGTGTACTTCAGGATTGGGGAAGTAGTTGACGGTATCGAATTCCTTTGTGTTGACAGTGCTATTCGAGGCAGCGTTCCTCTTTAGGATATGTGATCTTGCTTGAGACCCTGCTGCAGGGTGCTGATTACCGTCGCCCGTGCTGGCTGTTGGGATAGCCAGACCCAGCATGGGCACAAGTGCGAATGATAGTAAAAATGAATAGTACATGTTGGAGACCTGCCCCGGCTGAAGAAAAGAACGAGTGAATCAAACGAGTGGGTTCCAAACCGGGGAAAAGAGCGACAGGATCTACGAGAAGCGATCGACGACGGGACGGGATGGGGGGGAGAAGAGATGGGACAAACGGGGGAGAACGTGGCACTGCGGAGTGTAAATAAATGAAGAGAACACAGCGCTTAGGCACGCCGCCTCGTGGCCCCGCTGTCAAACTTTCAGAGGCAATCTTATTGGCGTCTTGATTGAAACGACGAAACACGGAAGAAGTCCAAACAAGGATACTCAGCAGCCTTCGGCACGAACCGAGAAATTAAGGCCCTGTTGGCACTGCTGCACTGATCCGCAAAGGATCCACTTTCTAACCGGACGAACCAGTTGGGCGTCCATTGTAGATGTGAGAGGCCTCGTCAATGGACTCAAAAAAGCCGAGAGGCTCCATAATGCCATGCTTGCCAGCGTTGCGATGCGTCTGTGCCGCAATCTTACTAGGTTGCTTTGGTTGCGCCCGTCAACAGCAGGATAGACTAACCATTATCTTCGGGGGTTCTGCTACGGAGATTGGTCTTTTCTGCAACGCACAACTATTACAGAGTATATCAAAACTAATCCTGGAAATATTTGTCGGGCGTCTTGCGCGTATTCGACTGCTGCGCCTCGAGCTCTGCGGAGCAATACCTGCCTCGTATCATCTGGATCGGAAGGTCAAGATTAGCTCGGGCATGATTATGGTGAGTGTGTCCCTGAATCTCAATTTGGCGCCATGTGGACTCTTCATGCGTAGGGTTGCTTGTTACGAAACATCACCTTTAAGAGATCTTGGCACGTTGTACTGCGTCTTCACTTGCAGTCCTCAGCCCCAATGACCCTCATTTCCAAGGTTGTTGTGGGGGACGGGAAGGGTGTATCCTGCGACCTTCCATTGATAGTCGTTCGATACACCCGAATCTACTGGTCGTGGTGGATTTTCTTGAGTTTTGAATTATATGGTGGCTGTCTTGGCTTTGGAGTAGACAGATCGACTCGGGGATACCAGATGCCGCTTCCTATGCTAAGACCAAACTAGACTCTAGAGTTGGGGGACAACTTCAAATACACCTTTGCTTCTGCTTGTACAAAGGATTGAGCACTGATCCCTGTGTGTATTTTTGGATATCTAATAGTTGTCAACATCTCCTATGCCGCACTGAACTAGCATAGGATGTGACTCCGTATTGAAGACAAATTGCTCCAGATTGATCACGCTTGGATCCTCGAAAGTCAAGTAGATATACTTGAGAACCTCGGCGAAGAAAAACCTGAATGCAAAATTAGTACAATTCAAACAAAACAAAAGCCAGAGCTTAGAAGGGACGGAGATCTTACGAATCCAGGCTGTTGCTTTGACTGCCTCCAAAAGGCATGTTCACGTTGCCCACAGAAGCAAATGCCACACTGTTCCTCGCGGTGCTGTTGATCGCAAGGAACGCGTCCCACACATAATCCGCCCATCTCGGATCTCCGGTGATTCGATACGCATAAAACCAGCTTTCAATCGACTCGGGAAAGGAAGACCAGCCCTCGTCACCGGGCTCAATGAAGTAACCGAACTCGTCTGCCCACGCCCGAGTCGCAGCATCAATGTCGCGCTCCGGTTCCGCCGGCTGCGAGTTGGTCTCACTATCGTACCATCCCCAGTAAAGGGGACCGAGACCTGTCAAAGTAGTGTTATATGTCTGGTGACAACCATCTGCAGCGGCGATGCCAAGATCGCACAAAGAGGAGAGACCCAGGACTTTGCAGCCGAGCAAGAAGTTGCCACCGGAAAAGCAACTGTAGTCATCCATGTAGTCTGTCAAAGTACCATTATCGTCGAGCGTGGAGATAAAAGTCAAATTGGAGAATCCATAGGGCTGCACCGCGAGGTAGCTGGCGGTACTCGATGTTGCTTCTAGCCAAAAGTCCTTGTAAAAAGTGGTGTCGTTGGTGACCT